GTTAGAAACCAAAATAAGATAAAGATCAAGAATAACAAAATTGCACTTCAGACTTACTGAATACGTGCAAAAACTAAAATTTCATTAAATTTTTCCTTTATTGCAGAAGATAGAGAAATAGTATATTTAATTTTCTTTAAAACAGTTCAATTTTCTTTCTTTAATCCATTTAAAACAGTTTTTTCAAAAGTTTATAAGTAACGAATACATATCAGAAGAATTATCAAACTACAAGAGTTACCATTATCCATGGATCGATTTTGCTCAAACTCTGATTAAATGTCGAGATAAAAATAATAAATGAACGTTAACAGCATACATGTAATTTTGTCATTCTTGATTTTTGTCATATTTCAATCTATAAAATCATCCCCTAAAACATTTATCACCGGTAGGTAAACACCCTCTATTCAGGGTAATATAGACACCGAGGTTCAAATGCTTGAATATTGCGACAGAGTATTTTTCTTATCCTTTATATTGGTTTCTTTACTCTACCCATAGTAATGAATTATCGAAATGGAAAATCAATAAACATTAATTTTCATTTGTAACTTCTGCAATTACAAATCGAAACTGTTCAATTGTTTTTAAAATTTTATTACAGTGAGCTACAAATTATGCGTGTCTAAGTAACGAAGTTTTAAGAAATCCTTTCTTGCCTGACTAGTTCATTCACCTTTGCCGCATTATCGACTGGGCGAATAATTTTGTGACTCACTGCATATTGATAATATCTTTGATTTTCTAATCCGTCCATCACGAGCGCAGGTATAACAGCAACTGGAAAAATTAGTTCCTTTTACAACGGTTGCACAAACAGCTTATACCTTAAAAACTATTGCGTATCTTTGGAAGGAAAAATGCACGTAAATTGGCAAGATTGGTATAAATGACGATACCAAATTTCAAACTAATATCCTAAACAGCTTTCACGTTATAAAATTCTAAAAACGCTCTAACTTGTCCGCGCCCACGTTATAATATTCCTTCAAATATAATTCGTTCCTGTTCTTACAGATGTAGGCAATTATACGTGCCGCCGCCGAAAATCGGTACCAGTGCCGACAATCGGCATCGTTACCGAACACGTGACACCGGGCACCAGGTTGTGTACGTATGAGCGTATGTGTGAATGAGTATTTTAGGAAGAGCCGAGAGCAGGCAAGGGCCAGTCTTAGCCCGGACTCCTTAGGGACTACCTTCGTTAATAAAGTTTTTGCAAACCTATATACTGAGCAACAAAAAATACCTTTAAAAAATGAATAAATCATACTAAATAGTTCTTCGATGATGAAGAAAGGTTGTACATAAAAATCAATAAAATAAATAATTTAAATTTAAATTTCACAAGACGTTTAATCATCTTCGCTCACGCGACGCGTTTAATTGGATTCAAAGAAACGTTAACGAAAAAGAAAAAAAAAAAGAAAAGAGGGGGTCGTCCGAATCGAGAAAATGCATCGTTTTAAAACATGATTTATCGTTGCATGCCCTTTAAGGCGAGAAAAACATACTAGAGTTTCACCGTGGAAACACTTATGGCCGTCGCAGCCGATATATCTTGTACGCTGCCGGACAATCGGATTAACCTACGCACTTCAATGTCACCGTGCACGCTCTTTAAAGTCAACCAAGCCGACCGAGAGGTCTTTCACGTGTGCAGCAAGCTTGAATCTCATTCCCCGGAGCGAGAGCAGCGACCCGGCAAAAAGAGCTGGAGGTACTAGTCGCGTGCTATATAGTAGTCTACGTCGCACTGAATTGTGAAATAGCGTTATTTATCGATACGCGACACTCATGCGGGGACCGTTACACCGCGTTCACCAACTCCGGAATTAAGAGATCGATACAATCGCGACATAATTATTCGCATTGCGAAATTGGCAACTGTAGCGAAAATGCGCATGATAACGTAAAATTCGAATAAACATTCCAAAATAACAAGCTGTGGGACGTAAAAATCCTAATGATTAAATAAATTGTCCTGAAATCCTTTTGCTTCTTTTAAAAAACTAAATTCTTGAATCCATTCATTATGTATAAAGATATTGTTACTTCAATGGTATCTATTTTACTGTATCGTTCTAATCACCGCGGTATATCAGTTTATTTGTATAAATAAATAATATATTCGTGAACATTTCGTAGTGGAAGTTTATTGTATTCGACAGGGATTGAGAATCACTGAAAAGCGTTCGAGCACTGCAGTCGAGTCAAGCTGTAGTTGCCACGGCGAAGTGCAGGCTGCACTTCTCCGAGGACGCCAATGGAGGGCTCTGACCTCTTCTCAGCATCTATCTACTTTCTGCAGCCTTAGGGTGTGTTCCTACTGCTACCTAAGTCGTCATACTAATTAAGGATTCTTTGTCCTACTAACTTCGCAGCGAAGCACACTAAAATCGCGTTACGCACAATTTGGCTAGTGGTTTCTTTGATACGATTTTGTTAAGTGCTTTATTCGTGACAACACGATAATCCTGTTACAAAAAAACGACATCCTGATCGCATAAAAAAAATAATGTTAAAAATATTTGTCTAACATTTCGTACGGAAGTACTAAAAATTATATTGCATAAATAAGTCGATCCAAATAATCCACGTAGAATCTATATCCATTGCATCGTAGTATAGGACGAAATTATTTTTAACAAATTTCACGAGTAAATTATTTATCATTGATCTATAATAAAAAAGACACGAATATTCTGTAATTTAGTGATAAATATATGTAACGTAATAAAAATTCTTTTAAATTCATAAAACGTGTCATTTGCTCGTAACTCGTATATAAATGTTTTCACTTACATTCATTGTTGACGGGTGATTCCGAAGCAGTAGCCATTGTGGGGTCACTGGAAGGAAATGCCTTCATTTCATGAACCAATCAGATATAAAAAGAAAACATGAAATTTTTTCAATTCCATAATCTCATTTTCTTTATAATTTATATTGTTTACTTCATTACCCCTGTCTCAATAAATCTGCGCGATATATGCGTCTCGAACAAAGAGACTGCACAAAGTTACGCATCATTTACCTGTCGCATCAAAATTTTCCGCATTTCCAAAACAATTCTCGTTAAAAACCAACAATATTGAAAATACTAGCTTTTCAAATTTTAACCGTTTTATTCTATCGAACAATGGTCAGGTAAATTTTTTTGTATAAAGTCTAGAGATGATTAAATACATGTGTCGGTAAGTAATGTACTATTTGATAGCGCTTCTGTTATTCTTATGTAAGCGGAGCAGTTGAAACACGAAGAAAAAAGGTATTTGAATTTGAGCAAAGCCTTCTGCCGTCAGGACAATGTTACAATGTAATCAAAAACACGTTTACTTTGGCAAAGCGGTCAATTACCCTATTAAAAACAGTTTTTTAAATGTATTTTATTGCATCTGTAAGAAAGCGTTCAACAAATTCATTTGAGACAACATACCGCAGTTGCGCCGTAAATCGAATGTGGAAGACGTCGTTCAGCGTTGCCGGATAAAAACGAGATTTTCTTTGTCTCGTGTTCGACATTGATTAAGCGTTTTCGTAGGACACATGCATACGAGTAACCGGCACGGCGTCTCTTTGTTCGAATTCGTAGCGTCCCCTTGTCACTATGCGAACTTATCACACGGTCACGAGCAATGCTCGACTTACCTGTTTTCACCTCGGAAGAACAAAGAAACGAAGTATTAAAAATTGCACAGAGCGTCGAGATCCAGCGACAGGAACGATCACGTACACACTCGACAATAATGCAAGGAGATCTGAACGGTCGCTGGACTAGCTAGCTGCTTTTATTGCTACATGCAAGTATCCCTGTGTATTCCAGCGATTCACACCAGTTACCATTTGGCTACACGCACGACATATACTTACATCTTATCGCTTGCCTGGAACGTCCGCGCATTCTTATTGGTCGATCCGGTTGATCGGTTGGTCACAATTGGTCCGTTTGAATTCGAAGCGTTGTGTTGAGTCTCAACAGAACGTGCCATGAGATCCTTCACCACGCATTCGCAGTACAGTTTCATTGTTCAAAAACATGGTGATTCTAAATACGAAGAGTTTGAAAATGAAGTCATTATTTGTAAGTTTACTTTGTTTATTGCATGCAAATGTATATCTTTTGTACACTACAGGATAGAATTAGTTAGTATAAACTGGAATTGTTTGTTGAAGGTGTAATTCACTGATATTTTGAAAATAGAGATTTAACCACGAATTTAAAATACAGTATGCAGCTAATAAGTACTTTATACTTGATTGAATTTGATATAAAAATTTGTAAATAGCACAACTCATTTTTCATGATTCCAATGGAAATTTTTACAAATTCATAACGAATGGTCTATTGTTTGTGCTGTAGAGAAGCTTCGTGAGAATACGATCGTTTGTTTTTTTGTTTGCGAGTCGGTTACACTGTTTAAAAAAGATTCATTCTGGATGAATCATATGTCTCTGCATCTCCAGTAACGTGCGTACCAATATGTGTGGGACGCCGTGACCGTTGTACGACCATACGAACGTAAAAATTCGTTCCAAATATGGCCGAGTCGTTATAACTGGTTTCGATGATTTTACAAGAAGCACCATGTATTCGTTAAGATTTTAACTAAAAGTTAAGCTTTCAATAATTACTTCATGTTATTAATATTTACTTGGTTAGTTTTGAATTACTAAGTGCCAGTACAAATTATGTTTTATTATTTACTGAAATATAGTTCAGAAATTGTCTGACACATACACTGTTTTGCTATTTTGTCAATGTTTTAAAATAACACTGCATTAAAGGAAACTTTTAATACAGATAATAGACGGGTATTAGAAATTAATAAACTTATAACAACGAAGGAAAAGAATGTTTCAATTAGTATATATTTAATGTTACTAATCTTTCATAGTAAAATATATGTTGAAATTGCATATGTTTATAGTAATACATTTGTATCAAACCGTTTCTTGTACAAACAAAACTTATGCATACTTACTAATTAGGGCAGTATCTTTGCGTTTGAATGTTATGATTCATGAAACTAAATGGTAATATGATATATTGAGCAAACACGTATAGGCGTTCTGATTATAATTAGTGTTTAAAATATAATTTTACTGAGGTAGAATGTTCTAAATATTACGTGTACATGAAAAAAGAAAACACTGAACATTTCTACGAGAAAAAAAAAACAATATTTTGCTACAATAAAATACAAAATCTATATTAAATGAATCATTTGTTTCTGTTAGTCTGGCTTGCGTAACTAAACATTTTATGTCAAGATACGATTAAAAATTCGTAATGAAAGTCTGAAAAAAATTCTAAAAAAAATTTGTACTTGTAATAAATACTTCATATAATAGAAAATGACCTATACCAACGGGCAAACAAAAGATCACCTATAATGGGTCAGTTTACTCGTTTCTTTCTTTATAGAGCGGAGTATAGTTTCAAATGACTAATTGACCTAGGTATATGTAAAACATATTATTGCCTTCACCAGTTTTCATCGTATAAAGGAGTACCGTCGCCGCTGATCGACATACTCCGTGGACTAGAATTTGTAAATGGAGTCCCTTTGGGAGATTTGTAAGATGGAGTGCGAACAGAGGGAGTTCTATTCCGTGGAACTGCTCTATCGTTTTGAGTTTCTTGATTCCGTGGCGTTCTTCTATTGTCATCGTATCTTGGAGTAATGTTACTAAAATCGAAAAGACGATATATCATTGTTCTTTCAATATTAATGACTGTATTAATTATAAACTTACAAGTTTCTCGAAGTAGATTGTTTTGCACGAGCCCAAGCTTCCGCCGCCTTTGTCCAATTCGTTGAGTCGGACGAAGTAGACCTGTGAGATCTTGAAGCTCTATGCGTATTTGAATTCATTGCGGGTGGTATTGGTTGCAAGAATGGTCCTTGATTATGACTGGGGGTCTGTGGATGGTGAGGTGTATGATGTGGAGTATGATATGGAGTCATAAATGGAGTCTGGCCTGAAGGCGTGTAAGGTGTGCTTCCATAAATTCCATAATTATTAACACTGGCAGTTCCTGGAGTGCATGGCGGATAATTATGTGGAGTTTGGCTTGCTACTTTCGAGAGAGAATGTAACATGTGGTGTGGCATATTTTGGGCTACTTTTTGTATTGCGTCTGAATTCACTCCTAAATTAGAAAAAGTAATGTTTCATTAGAATAGAATAACAATTATTGTGATGTTTTAATGGTGTAACGGTATTATGAAATTTACCATTAATTCCTGGAGTACTAATGTACGGTGTTCTGGTAGTCATACCTCCATGTGGCGTACCAGGTGTAGATTGACCAGGTATAGGATCTCTAAAATGCTCTTTAAACCAACGGAACAAGTCGTTCACTCTATTAAATATTTGACCTCTGTATCGAAATCCATCCGGTGTCACGGTAACATACTCGTGGCGGCAACGAACTCGCGGTAAATATGAAAGTAAAAATTTTCCAGGATAATTCTAGAATAACAAAGGGAGTAATTATATTTGGAAAATAAATATTACCAAACAATCTTACCCTAGCAGCAGATATAATATACGGAATTCCTCCAGGATTTTGTTTTTTCTGTTCTTTCAATATTTCCTCCGCTTTATCTTTAAGGCCTTCCACATTTGGTTTGTAGTATTTAAAATCTAAAAGTTCTGAAGCATAGACAGCCATTGGATTAATATGTCTTGCAATAATTTCATCCAGATCTTCGAATTCTTCATTGCCAATCCACAGACTACGACCTAAAGAAAACACGTTTTCTTTGCCCTCCTCCCTTACGTCAATATGTTGATGAATTTTTTCTGTGACTTTCCATGTCACTGTCAAATGATCGGATCCTTTACTGCTTGGACGTATTATCGTTTCTCCTTGTTTCACTGTTTGCATTAACTTCTCAACTTCAGCGAAGCTTATGTTATGAAAACTGGGATGAATTATAACACGTTTTACATAAGTCTGTCTTTGTTGCGCTTTTTTGGTATCTTCTTCAATCTTTGTATCGTTCTCCTCTGCTTCTGTGTCATAGTAAGCGTCCTTCTGAGGTCTGCGAATAATGCGTATAGAATGATATTTATAAAAATTATCATAACCGGCAGAAATAAAAAAATTATTTGATACATTACCTCCATTCACGATTTTTGTCAATAAGGTCACTCGTTTTACTAGTACATTCGACACTAAATCGTTCTACTTCTATTTTTGTTATACGACAATGAATTACTTGACCAACATGTACTCTTTCCTCTGGATTATTGACATGCTTATCAGATAAATTTTTGACATGAATGTAGCCAGAGATTCCATTATCCAATCTTAAACGGATTCCAGTTGCTTTCCCCGGACACGCACCAGCATCAAAATGATTCCACACTTCCGACAATTCTGGGAAATCGTTCTTCAAACAAAACGGACACTGCCATAAACCAGTCTCATCGTTTCTAACAGGATTTGCTTGATCCAGCTGATCTCCTTGCGGTTTTCTGTGACTTATTCCAACAACTGTTGCTAGGATTAATTTACCAACATAGAACATTTCCGGAGTCTCTTTTGTCAAAATATCAAACAATTTCTCTGTATTTAGGGATTGATAGGCTACACGGAGATCTTTGTACCTACAATTCAGTTCAGCTCTTATATCGTAAAGAGTAATGCACTTGTTTCCAAAACATTGTCTTTCAAGCTCTTCGGCGAACGCATCCAGATCTAAATCTTTTAATCTTTCTGGAGATTCAAGAATTTCTTCTAAAGCACCAGCAGGATTTGCATCTTCATCGTCATACTCTAGTGCATCTACTGCCATTTTTCTCGCCCATTCGTACGTTTCGGGATGTACACGTGAACCATCCAAAACTTCTACATATGCCTCGGTACTATCTCCTAAACTATTTGTGTCTATCTTAATAAAACCTGCACAGTTAACAAATACCTTGGGCCCCATGTGAAAAGCTGTTACTAGTTGTGTTCTGTTCTCTAGTCTCTGATTAGTTTGCTTTAGAATCTTAATCAACGATTGAGCCTTTCTGGCACCCAAACCACACACAAATTGTACTAAGTTTGATGTATAAGGCTCTTGAACTGTTCGATTTAAATCTACTCCTACTTCATTTACACGATTTATAAACTCCAAATATAAATTTTCTATAAGATCTTCTTTAAGTAATTGATCTTGCAAAGGATGATATTTAAGGCACATAATTTCTTCATCTACGGTACACAATTGAGAAAACTCTAATAGAGGATCCTGTATCCTTCTTGCTAAAGATATCGCTTGCCTCAGTAATTCTGGATAATCTCTGAAATCGGATGTACCTTTGTTACTATTCGCATAAACTTTAGCTAAGTCATTATCACATATCTCCACTTGTATTGCAGGGAATTGTTCGTCTTCTACTAAATTAGTAATACATTCCTTCAGATCTGCTACTATCATTAATGCTTCTCTAGATTCACCACTCACTACCACAACGTGTGGTTTTTTTGTAGCAATGAAATTCTTAACTGCTAACAAATCAGCCTCCTTCATCATTTTTTCATTCTCTCTAAAACTATTTTTGCGTTTTAATAAATGTGGTAATCTCAAGTAATCTGTACACTCTCCATCTGGAGAAATTATACAAGTAAAAGCAGATACAGACGGATCGGATATATAAGCCAAACCCATTACTCGAATTCCTTTACTAGTATTCCAGTCTTCATCATCTTCATCAGGGAATTCGCAACTGTATGGAGCAACTTTTATCCAATTATACATTTTACGACAACAAGCTTTCATAACACATTCTTTCGCCTCTATTAAAAGATTAGATCGTAATTCTTTCTTCAACTGTGGTATTACAATACGATTTAAAGCTATTTCAACGCTGCCAGTTCTCAGTGCATTCCAATCTTGTACACTTTTACTGAACTCGTCTCTATAGTATAGTTGTTTTATTTCATCAATATAATTATTGGTAGTATTTCCTTCTATCATATCACTGAAGGAAATTGTAATTAATTTATCTTCTTCAGCCATAATTAATTTTAAAAATTGATCTCCGATAAGATCTCGTACAGGCTTGTCCTTAAGATATTTTATCGTAAAAAGAGGATGATTTTCATCGATTTCTTTAATTCCTTTCTTAGTCGGTCTTACAGATAACTTTGCTCTTTCCATATACATTTCTCTGACGCACTTACATACTAACGGTTCATGTGCTAATTGAATTGCAACCATTAATTGCACAGCTTTAAGCACTTCATTGCTAGTTTTAAAAACTGCTGAGCAAAATTCCTCGGCTACTACAGTAGGTTCTATTGATTCCTGCTCTACTTCGTGACGTTGATAATTATCTCGGAGATTTTCAGCGAAGTGTTCCGGCGTGAGACCAAACTTTTTAGCAAGTCCGTCTAAACCAGCCTTTCTACAAACGGAATAAGGACCTTTTCTAACTGGCTGTTTTAATGTTTCATCTATTTGACCTTCGTCATCTTCTTCTATGTCAATAGTTTCTTCCAGAGAAATTCCATTTTCTTCAGCTTCCGCAATTTGTTGTTTCCTTTTCTCAATTCTAGATTTCTTTCGTATTTCTATTTCCTTCTTACGAAGGTCGTCCTGCATTGCTGGAAGATCATGACTATAATAAAGCATAAAGTGTCGATAAACATCATTTAATTCGTCAAAAGTCTGAACATTTTTAAGTCGTTCAATATCATCATCTTTAATGACCCGTATATTCTCGGGTAACGGAGCATCAGGATTTTTCATAATTTCATCCAATTGAAAATTTCTCATCTTTTCAAATAATTTCAATAAATTCTCTTTTCTTTGCTTAAGCTGACACCATTTTGTGTCGAATTTATATATTTTCCATAAATCGTTAATATTTAATTCTGGTAAAACATATTCCTTCCTATAAAATGAGATGAAAGGAACTTCGAAATTTTGATTACGCATGAAATCTAAAGCTTTTTTAATTTTGTTGACAGTTTGTGGGCCCTTTTTAGCTCTTTCTTTGGCTTCTTCATTTAGATGAGCATCTTGTACCGAAATTGTTGGCTGACAGAATGCTTGCTTGTATATCCACTCTGCTTCAAGATCTAATTCATCCGAACCTTCTGCGGTCGGTGTAATTGGAATAGAACGAAGTTGCATACGTTCAGGAATGTCTGTAGTACGAATCTGAAATATTAAATCCATGAGAGTACATTATTCAAAAACGTAGATAATAAATTAAACCTATTTTTAATGATGCTATTACCTCGTTGTCCACATCAGTAAAATGTCCACGGATAAGTTCACTAGGTTCATATATTTCAAAAATACTCTTCTTTGTGGTTTTCTTTTTAAAATGTTTCCTCGATCGTCTCGGTCGGTCTTCTCCATCTTCAAGGTATTCATCATCTGCATCCTCCTCTTCGTCTTCGTCAAATTCGTCATCTTCGTACTTTCCAAATTCATCATAATCAAAATCAACACCAAATATATCTTGAGCTTCTTGCAAAGCCCTGTATTAATGAAACGTATAATATAATAAATGAGTATATAAAACATTTGTACACATATTTTTGTACTATAAATATTTCTTACGCGTCTGAAAAAATATGTTTCTTTTTTCTTTTTTTCTCGGTTATAGGTACACCATCACCATCCACAATAAAATCATCTTCGTCTTCACTTTCTTCTTCATCGAATGCTTCTACTTCGGGTCTATGACTAATTTCACTTCTTTCATCATCTTCCTACAGATAAAAACGAATACTATTCAAAATTTGTTTATTTCCTTTTAAATATTAAATTAAACTAAAATTAATAATAGAATTTTTGAATAGTGTATTATAATTTTGCTTAGAAACTTACATCTCCAGATCCTTGAAACAGTTCATTAGCAATAGCATTTCTTTCATCTGTCTCTCCCTCTTCTTCTCCTTCAGATTCTTCATCTTGTATTCTGCGGAGACGTTTAAAACGATGTTTCTAAAAAACAAATTACATTATGGAATTTTGCATTAATGTATTTTCTATTTTCATTTCTTATTCTTTACGAACCCTCTCAACTTTTACACCCAAATTCTCTTCAAGTAGATCGTAATCTTCATCTTCCAAACGATCATCAAAATCTTCATCATCGCTCTTTTTACGTTTCCCAGAACCTGATCCATCGCTATCTTCACCATCATTGTCTTCGATTGGATTATCATCAATAAGTCCATCAATTTGTCCTTTTTAAAAAAATTAAGAATATTTAAGATATACATATTTTTGGGCTATAACACTACTTCAAGTGAAGTAAGACTTTGGTAACTAATTTTACAAGCGGAGTATAAGGTACAAAAATCTTATGAAATATCGAAGAGCCTTGAAAAAGTAATAATCAAATATTGTGTAATTTCCATTACACAAATTTCTCCAAATCACTTGTTACCTTCATCATCATCGTCCTCATCGTCACTGTCCTGCATAGCCCTTAACTTTTTAAGTTTTCTCCTTTCATAAACATCGAGTTCTTCTTCTTCCTAAAATATTATGAAAGGTTATATAAAACCAAATACTTTCACTGGTGTATATTAAATATTTTAATGCTCACCTCACTCTCTTCTGCCTCGGCGTCCAAGTAATCTGCCATTTTTTCTTAGAAATATAAAATTCTTTCGATGAAATCTACAGCGAAGTCGATAATAAAGTGAAAAACAGATCGAACAAATCTACTTTGTTCAAAGAGACCATGATATCCAGTGACATCCGCGCATATATTTGATATGTATATATAAAGGGTTATTCTCAAAGAAGCACATAATGTTACAATTCTTGTCTTTACTATAGTATGTGCTATGATTCCCGCCTATATCTTCGATCTTGTTCTTGGTGAATACTGTGAACGTAGCTAGATTAAATTGCGTAACCATTTCATGCTTAATTTTGCAGGGAAAATAAAATCTGAGAATACTTCACATACATAATTGCGACATTATTTATTATACAATCAATAATATTCAAACTTATGTAATAATGCATTCGATGTAGAACAAAGTCGTATTATTTATGTTAGTAACGTAGAACTGAAAATCAGCACATCATTGTACTTCTTAACCAGAGTTCGTTCACTAATGACCTATTAAATTTTTGTCCAATCTAAAGTTTATTTTTGAGTTCTAATTTCTTTGAATCTGTTGATTTCTGCCTTAAACTGTAATTTACTAGAAGCTCACGGAATAGTGACATAGTGTACATATAAAGATCAGTGACTTTGGTACATCAAGCACCGACGAGATACAGAATAGACTGTTACGTTATCACGTGAACGTAGGTTTAATGCACATAGCGCCACAACGGGAATTAATTGTAACCCGATTATTCACCGTCGAGTGCAGAGTCATGTAACTGCGTTTTAGTTAGGAGCGAAATCCAAACGGACCGGCGTATTGTAATAAACAATACGATTGTGTGTTTTTCAACGTGGGCGATTAAGCTGGGGAAGATAGAGAGAAAGGAAGGCACTTCTTTTCAGATACTTAGTTTATTTTCTAAAGACCACGACACATCGGAGTTTCCGTCGTTCCTTCTTTTTGTTTATTACGGACCGTGCCAAATTAGCTATTTCCGTTAAGAGTTTCAATGGTCTTGACACACAGCAGGGCCTCGCGACACTTCGCTTCGAGTTTCGTTTACTTTCACAAGGGTCATAAATTCTCTTAAGGGTTGTTTAGGCCGCTAGCCTCGTTTTCTCTCTCGACTCCCACGCTCTCTCTCACGCGCGCCCGCTCCAACATGGCCGCGTAACCTCCACCTCCACTCGGCTCGGGGGTGGATCATCGATCGAAGACGATCCGGATGGATGGGGCAAGGCACAAACCCCGATTGGACCAGGACAATCCAGAGGGAGGATCGAGGAATATTCCGGAGAAGGGATGAACACCGAGGACGACGAGAAGATTTCCGCGGAGGATTAGATCGATTTTAAAAGTCAACCAAGTTGTATCTAACAATCGAGACGAAGACGAATAAACTTTTACCAACCCTTTTTCGAACATACTTAGTAGTTTGATTTTTGCGCGTCTCGCCGAGCAGAGCGGTTCAGCGCTCCACGGGCACCAACCCACCGACCTTTTTCCCTAAACCGCTATCTCGGGACGTAACATATTTTGGTGACAGCGGTGGGATAGTTTAAAATAAATATATAGACAGTTTAAATAGATAAGACAAACTTTGCCGGCTCGCGAGTGCACGCTTCAATAGACTTAATTGTGACGAACTATTTTATTGAACTTTTACAATATAAAGTGGACATTAGAATCAGTGCATCCGCTCTCCCTTGGGTTTTCGCACGGTTTCCCTAAGGGCACGGGTAAATACCGGAGACGGGTGATTTCGGCGGCCGTGCAAGCCACCACCGTTATCACATGCACCCTGTTCACCATCACGGTTGAACTTTCGCCTTAATTCAACACGGAGAGACGATCGCCACTGAACGAGGTTCCTGAAGGGCAGAGAGTCGAGCATCACCGCCGATCGGAACATCTGAAGGACATCACGGACCAGTCCATCGCCGATTCCGAACATCTTCCGGGACGCAGGCCGCCGACTCAGCAGATCGACGACGAGCGGAAAACCCCTGTTGCAGGAGAACTGGTGAATAAATTCTAGAGCGTTTCCGTCGTACTTTTAGTAAGTTTAGTAAACTAATAATAATCGCAGCGCAGACTAGTAGTTAAATTTAGTTGTACTGGTCTGATTTATTCGAACTAAGTAGATTAATCAATCGATAAAATGCCGCCGTTCTTAAACAAATACGTGAGTGCTAAGGGAAGCCGTAAACGTCTGCGTGGTGATAAGGGAGTATTCATGGAGGAATTACTGGAATCTTCCCGCGTAGAACCCCCTACTCCCGGAACTGTAGTGTCGCGAGTAAATGAAACAGGTTTAGTTCCTGTACAGTCTTTAGTTCAAGGGTATAATTCGACGAACGGTCCCTCAAATATGATTAATAGCATGTTCGCGTCACCTCCTATGTCGTGCTCCTCCCAAACCCTGTCCATTGACCCTATCGTAACCCCGACTCGATCTTCCGAACCGATACCGTCGCCTGAAACTTCAAAATATCCGTCACGCATGCCATACGACTTGATTTCCAGCTTTATACCCCATTTCGACGGGAATTCAGCCCAAGTTGAACAATTCATTGCCCAGTGCAGGCTCGCGGACTCGTTGATTAGGGCCGAGGATTAAATGTATTTACTCGCGTTGATACAGAGCCGGATGCCATATCTAACCTACCGCGGCATCGTAGGCGACGACCCTCCCCGGACCGTAGAAGCACTAGTTAATTTAATAAAATCCGCGTATCCCCGGACATTTAACGTTAATGACATGCGAAGCGAATTGTGGGACGTACAGCGACGCGATCACGAAACGATCGAGGAGTTCGGCTACAGGGTACATGGAATTTTAGATCGCGGGATTCAGGCGGCGCGCGAAGGTTTCAAACCGGAGGAATTCGTGGGGGTCAAGGCATTACTTACGAAAAACGCGGTACACAACTTTTTGAAGGGCCTGCGAAACGATATTATCGCCGGTATAATATCCAAGGATGATTTGCGGGATCTACGATCGGCTATTAAGGCAGCCTCCAGAATAGACGGGCTAACCAATTTTACGCGAACCTCAAAACTTACGAACACCCCCCGGGACCGGCCCAGAACATTTAGGACACAAGTAGACGAGCGAGTTTGTTTTCGTTGCGGGAAACCCGGGCATCCGATCGCAGCTTGTCGGCACGAGGCTGATAATCGATTTCACGGGCCTCGACCCTATGCACCGAAATGCCATCAATGCGGGAAGATAGGGCACACGGAAAGACAGTGCCGTCGGAACAGCTTCGATCATGTCCCTAAGGATACGCGTCCCCCGGTTCCCTTACTCTCCGCGAACCTAGGGGCTAACCCTTTAAACTCCAAGGGGACTCCGTCAACGGGCGCGATATTTCCATCTCCTTGACCCACAATCACTTCCACCGCGGCTCCGCTGAATTTCTGGTCGACACCGGCTCCCAACTTGACCTAATTAAACAGAAAGAATTAAAATCAGACCCACTGACTAATATTAAAGTAATTTATGCAAAAGGAGGAAAAGGAAGTAAACTAGTTTTGGAACATACCAAAAGGGACGCTGAAAAAAAATGTTGACTAAACTCTGATAAATATTTATAAAATATATCTTACCACGTGAAATTTGCGGTAACCGTCGATCGACGTCTTCCTCTGTTCGTACGGCCCCAGGGAAAAATGATAAATTATCAACGGAATCGGACGATCATCCTCTATGAAGAGGCTCGAAACGAACGAGAGGCGCGATAGGAACGGAACCCGAAAGAAGAGATATACTCTGAAAAGTTGGTCGCCCCATGTCTCTCTCCGTTATATGTGTAGATTGATTGCGAAACCGCGCGTTTAGCCGATCATCCGGTCCACGAATGCCTTTCTTTCGAATTTATTTGTAGAATTTGCGAGAATAGTAGACTATCAAGAATTAACGAAAATCGGATCGGGTAGTTCTATTATAAACGCAGTTCTTCAATTTTGAAAAGCGACGGTAGGACGTTAAGATATCAGCCGGTTACGCCTAGCGAGCGTTTCGCATCGAACAAATGAAAAGAGAGAGGCACTTTGGCGAGGTGCTAAAAACCTATCATCGATATCTTTTCCTCCGAGGAAGCAAAACGCCGGACTGGCTCTTCAATCAGAAAAAGGTCGTTTCCTGCAAAAGAAAAGTGCATATTTAAGTCATAAGATTACTCGCGGAGGAATGAAACCTGATATTGTCTGATTTGCCTGACGTAATTCCGTCGTCGCCGACATAAATTCCAGTCTTCAACTGCAACTTGTACGATCTTGCGCGGACTCCAATTCTAATCCGAGGTGTCTAGGAAGGGTGCACGTCTGCGCAGACAAACCACCAATCATAGATTCCGAAGTGGACAGGACGGATGAAGCGTTATCCGCGGAAAACGATAGATTCATAGCCTCTGTGTTCCTAGCGCGCAGGAAAACAGCGAGCAAATTAAGCGAGGTCACCAACAACGTATTAAAGACTTTTGATTCGGGAAAATCATGCTCAGTAATGAATTTCACGCGAGAACTTCCTGAAGGAACACCCCAATCGAGTACCCCAGAGTCTCCTCAACTCGGTCTTTTGTTGGCTAACGGGTGTATAGTCCGAACCCCAGGAACCCGCTTCGGAGGCCGTGAGAGGGAATCTGTACTCGATGTGCAACCTGTATCGTCTCAAGGGAGAGGGGCGCCCTGTATGCCTGGGTATCCCATCCGGGTAGGAGACCCGGATGGATGTTTGCAACTCGGTCAGGTGGACCGAGGTTTGCGTGTATCCCGGCGGGAGAGGCCGGAAGGGAATGAATGTGAGTATCCCATCCGGACAGGAGAACCGGATGGAAGTACGCAACTCGGTCAGGTGGACCGAGGTTTGCGTATATCCTGGCCAGTGAGGCCAGATGAAAGGGTGAATGGAGATGATCAGGACTGCACAGGGAAATCCAGTGGTGTGACCTCGGTAGTAAATTCGGTAGACCCCATAGGAAATCTTTTAAATGCACAATATGCTAATGACAAAAACAGAATCAATGTTGGGAAAAGGATTTTGATTACAAATACCGATATAAACGAACCAACACCTTCTCCTACCGCTCCTACTATATTCTATCTAAATGACCACCACTCAGACGACTGCGGCACAGAATCTAGAAAAAGCGAAACAGAAAAGTAAGAATTATTATGACCGAACCTTAAGGCCATGTAAATTTAATTTAAACGATATAGTATACCTGCTTAAGGAGCCCAAAACCTCCAAATTCGATTGTAATTGGCTAGGTCCCTACAAAATAAATCGATTATTCAGCGATTTAACGGCAAAATTAGCGCTAGGGAAAAATAGATTTAAGATAGTACACACAAATAAACTTAAACTGGCACATATAAGACCGAACTCTCCTTCCAAAGAAGACTAAATAAATTAGTTAACCTGTAATATCCAATGTAAAGGTTACTCAATGTAATAGTCTGCGAATTCAGGACTGCGCTCTAATTATGTTCTCCATATATATAATTTATATCACACTTACCTCTAACCTTATGTACCTCTGCTTGTAGTTGTCAATGATGTATAGTTATTGCGAATCACCTCACTGACTATTATTAACTTTATATTTCGATAAGCATCTGTACCGGGAAATATTAACTATTTTTTCTGCGAGTAGTAAGTAATTTCGAAAACATGGAGGCATGATAAGCATGAGAATATTGTACGCGTAAATATTGTAACGGACACCGACCTACCACAGGATAATAATAATGAATATCGGCGTTTACCTAAAAGCTGTTTTATCAAAACACCTTTTTGTATAAGAAGGGAGGTGTTACGTTATCACGTGAACGTAGGTTTAATGCACATAGCGCCACAACGGGAATTAATTGTAACCCGATTATTCACCGTCGAGTGCAGAGTCATGTAACTGCGTTTTAGTTAGGAGCGAAATCCAAACGGACCGGCGTATTGTAATAAACAATACGATTGTGTGTTTTTCAACGTGGGCGATTAAGCTGGGGAAGATAGAGAGAAAGGAAGGCACTTCTTTTCAGATACTTAGTTTATTTTCTAAAGACCACGACACATCGGAGTTTCCGTCGTTCCTTCTTTTTGTTTATTACGGACCGTGCCAAATTAGCTATTTCCGTTAAGAGTTTCAATGGTCTTGACACACAGCAGGGCCTCGCGACACTTCGCTTCGAGTTTCGTTTACTTTCACAAGGGTCATAAATTCTCTTAAGGGTTGTTTAGGCCGCTAGCCTCGTTTTCTCTCTCGACTCCCACGCTCTCTCTCACGCGCGCCCGCTCCAACATGGCCGCGTAACCTCCACCTCCACTCGGCTCGGGGGTGGATCATCGATCGAAGACGATCCGGATGGATGGGGCAAGGCACAAACCCCGATTGGACCAGGACAATCCAGAAGGAGGATCGAGGAATATTCCGGAGAAGGGATGAACACCGAGGACGACGAGAAGATTTCCGCGGAGGATTAGATCGATTTTAAAAGTCAACCAAGTTGTATCTAACAATCGAGACGAAGACGAATAAACTTTTACCAACCCTTTTTCAAACATACTTAGTAGTTTGATTTTTGCGCGTCTCGCCGAGCAGAGCGGTTCAGCGCTCCACGGGCACCAACCCACCGACCTTTTTCCCTAAACCGCTATCTCGGGACGTAACAAGACATATCATTTATTGGAATTCGTGTCACACGAACCAAAATACCAACTTTGTAAAAAATCTGAGATTTAAAAATTGCTCTTCGTTTAAAGAAAAAGAGTTGTCCGTGTTTTATAGCAAACATAGAAAGTACGGACAAGATACAGAATTGACCTATTATTAGTGATGGGATTTGGAACACTTCGAATCACTTCAAATCTATAAAATGGCGGAAAAATCGAATTACTTCGAATCTAATTCGAAGCCTTAGAAATCTTGGAAATCTTTACTGATTTAAGTCTTAATCGTCTTGATCGTTTGGAAAGTCTTGATTATCCTGTAACTTCTTGGTCATGTATTTATAGGTGTTTATTAATATACTTTCTTTGTACGATGAAGAGTCACTTTTCTGAACCTAGTTAAGGTAAGAATAATAATTATTATGTTATGTACAAACAGTTCTGTATGAATAGTTAGGTAACTATATACAAGAAGTATTATCACATTGTGCTCCTAGGTGACAACTATTTCATTAAAAATTTAACACACTTATTTATAATAATGTATGTATATTTTTGAAATGTGAAATATGAAATATGATTAAATTTAGTTCGAGTAATGTGCTATTGATATATCTAGAGCAAACAACATACGTTGCAATTAGGGGTGTGTGAGATCCCAAAAATATTCGAGATTCCTAAAAGTGACTTAAAACTAAAAATATAACATACTAGTTAAATATGTATTAAAACTGATTTCCAGAATGTCATGAAATATATCATAAATAAATAAAAGTGTAATCTTTGGATTAATAAATTGTTTTAATCTTGACATATGAAATTATTGATAGAGCATTGTTATTCCATATCAATTTGTACGTCTTATGTATAGGTTAAAGGTTCTATCAAGTTAAAGTCGTTTGTCGGGCGCGTAATTCTTCTACACTTCCGCCAAGCACCTTCGCGCCTAAAACCGAACTACGTTTTAAAAAACTAAGATAGCAACGTTGGTGACTTTTCCCTTGAACGGGAAAAATAAAAAAGTTGTTTGATACATTCAATTAGTTGACATACTCGCAAGACGATTGGTCAAATCTTCTTTCTTTTATTTAACTGCAGATTTGCAACCAGAAGTGAATTGATCATCGTAGTACTTTCCTGCCTGATTCGCTATTCGTCTGCGACAGAGTGGTTTGTAAATTCCTCAATAGCGTGTAAGCGATACGTAGAAACTGCGAGGTGAAAACGTGGCGAAAAAACGCGTGAAATGATTAGAATACGAATTTGAAACGATTAATTACTTCACGAGGATGCCAACTAACGAAGAATCTAAGGGTGACGGTCTTTTGGAGAGGCTTGTTAAGAGTGACGAAAATGAGGTTGTGAATTGCCGGAGTAGCGCGGACAATATTGAAGGGCACAAATTACGACACGGCACAGACAGTTTTCCAAGTATTAATGAGAGACCGGTCGATGATATTTCTATTCAATTTTTTTACAAGCCTCATAGCATTACATTGCTCCTCATTGCGATTGGTGCTGTAATATATTCAGCCTTCACTAGGTAATTGAATATTCTGATTCTGATTTTGTTCTCATAATACGAATGTAAAATTTCTGTAAATATTCATGTTAATTTAATGCAGGAATACTAATAATGTCGAGGACAACATTTGGGCTGGAATACTATGCATCATATTTTTTTTTCTAATCGTATCAGTACTCACATTTCCAAATGGACCATTTACAAGACCTCATCCGGTTGTTTGGAGCCTCGTATTTGGTTGTAGTGTATTATACTTAATGGGCCTGTTGTTTTTGCTGTTTCAAGATTATGATACAGTGAGAAAAATCTTTGTGTGGATCGATCCAGGCTTAGCGTCATTTCATATCGACATGGACAAAGAATATGGTGTTAATTGTTCAGATATTACATTAGAGAAGATATGGAATCATTTAGACATTTTTGCGGTAGCTCATTTCTTAGGATGGACTTTTAAAGCAATACTCATTCGACATCTTGGTATTCTTTGGGCTATCAGTGTTATGTGGGAAGTAACAGAAATAGCATTTGCCCATTTACTACCAAATTTTATTGAGTGCTGGTGGGACGCTTTTATACTCGATGTAGTTGTCTGTAATGGTTTCGGGATCTGGGTCGGATTAAAAATTTGCTCTTTGTTGGAAATGCGAGAATATAAATGGGTAAGCATTCGTGACATTGAGAGCACTACTGGAAAGTTGAAGAGAGCAATGCTACAATTTACACCTGGCAGTTGGACTGCTGTTAGATGGTTGGATCCAAATTGCACATACATGCGATTTGTTGCACTGTGTCAGTTGGTTATTTTCTGGCAGGTTTCGGAGCTGAATACTTTTTTCTTGAAGCACGTGTATGAATTTCCACCCTCTCATCCTTTTGTTGTGTCAAGATTGGTACTAGTTGGAATAATTGTTGCGCCATCTGTTAGGTAGGCAAGGGTCATAATATAAAAAATGTTAGATTTGCATTAAGTGTATACAAATTTTTTAAATAGTTCTTTTCCTTTAGAGCTTTAAAAAATGAGATATCTTTGAGAATTCTTGGTTGATAAAATATAAACTAGACTTTGCTCATTACTTAACAAGGTTATAGAATATTCTTGATGATATTTACATATGAATTATAGGCAATACTACATGTATGTAACAGATCCAGCATGTAGTAGAGTAGGGACTCAGTGTTGGGTCTATGGTGCAATTATGCTTACAGAAGCATTACTGTGTATACGACATGGTGCTGCATTATTTGAGCGTACCCAAGTATTGAACATTCTTTTATGGTTACTTTGCCAATCCCTAGTCTCAGTTCTCTGTGTTTATGGCTGTGTTCTATGGCACCAATACTTTGAGGTATGTGTCTTTTTCTTTGGAGTTGAGTTATTATTCATTTTGTAACTAACTGAATGATTATTTGTGGTTTCTTTTATGCCTCCTGCATGGCTCTCGTCTTTTCAGACGGAAAAGAAAGCTACTTCAAAACAGTCAATTACCCAGTTAAGCAACAGCCATGTGGACGTAACCCATAGCAGTGGTATGTGTTTATGTCTACTAGATTCTTTTGAAGCATAAATAACGTATTAAGCTGATAGTGTACTGAGCTATTGATTTATAATTAACAACTACTAAATATAAAACAAGTGTGCCATCTAAACGTTCTAGTCATTACCTAACTGACATGAATGGTATCAAAGCAGGAGAAATTGTGTCACGGATACATTTGTTTTATGTCCTCAATATTGAAGAGCACAAATTTGTATTTACATTCGTATTGTGTCATACTTGCAGCAATGAAAAATATATAGTAAGTGTAATAATAATTTGTGAACATTCATGAATATGAGTGCATGCTTAAAAGTATTTTTGAGTTACTGTATATGTTTATGTATTTATTATTGAAATAGTACAAATATTTTATCAGAGCTCAGTTCATCATTGGTTCAATAAATGCTAAAGTAATGTAGAGTTGTAGCAATCAATATCTGTTCTAGGGGGTATGGTTCACTCTACAAAATCTGTGCTGGAGAAGAAGCAATTGTGAACAGGTTTGCAACAAAAAACGACCGACTTAAGGGTGAAGTGTTTACACTATTAAACTTTCTAGTCGTATTATAAAATAATATAGAGGGGAGTATTTAATTTTAGTAGGTTTCTGATGAATGCATGAGCTTATCTGACTTTCTCCATATTGCGTCTGTTAAGTGTGAATGTTATGAAACAAAAGATATCTCATTTCTGAGAATAAATGAAAAGCGTCGCGACCACTCGGATCACTCTTCCTCATAAAAGTCAGTCGCTATATCATTTACGCGTCGCAGGTACACTGGTTGTATCGCTTAACTCAAGATATGGAAATACGTTGCAAGTGTGACTAGGTAATATTCCTGAACCCTCTGCACATTTCCAAATGCCACCTAGAAATCTACTGTTAGACGCAGAAACAAAGATACGAATGCGACTCGGTAACTGCTCGTCCTCGTACAGAGATATATATGACGATGTAAATGGTGACTTCGCACAGTGCATCTGTGAAGATCGTGAATGAAAAGTTCAGTTTATGGTAATTGTCTTAATAGTTGTAGATTTAAAAATGATAATGCCATAAATTTCGTTGTAACAAAAGTACCTGTGCATAGGTCAGATAGAATAACTGATCAGAAGCAAGTTCAAGCCATGGAAGTAGAACTTCCTTAGAAGATCTCAATCGATCTAAAGTATCGTATGCTAATCTCAGCCCCATCGTTTCGGATAATCGTTCATTTAGCGTCAATTGCGAAATCTGAAAAGTTTTTGCGAAAGAATAGTGGTTACTTTTCAACAGCGTATCCTAATTGAACGTTTTACTTTAAAATAATATTTGTACATCATAACAGTTTTATAGAGGAAAAGAAAGTACAATTTCACCTCGTAAGACACAGTCTGTCCTGTAGATGGTATCATCATGTTTATAGGACTTCCATAAGGATTATTCCTTTGACAGTAAATGTATTCTTCAAAAATCAGGTTTGTAAAATCGTCATTTAATAGAGAGTACTTGGCGTCGCGAGTTCCATTCCAATAATAGATACCTGGCGTACAGTAAGGTATATTGTTGAATATTTTTGAATGATAAAACTTTCTTAACGTTCTTAAAGATCTATCGTTATAAATGTTACAACGTTAGTCACTGTGACATTACGATTATTACATATTGTTTAAATACCATTTGCGTCAAAGTGATGGGCAATTTGGTGTGCTATCACATTACCAAGTGTTCCAAATATTATATAATCGAACTGGGTTTGGTTATATCTCGTGGACCAGTCGATCACACCAAATGGTATCACAATGAGATTTAATCCGTAAATTGCAAGTCCTTTGGATTGGAACGGTGTTGCGTAATGCGTCCAACTATATATTAATTCGCTTATTAGAGTAACTCATAAATGTTTCGTACACTTCTAATTGTAAAATCTTACATTTGTTCAGGATTACCCGGATTTGTAAATAATTCCGTATATGTCAGGTTTCGATTTCTTTTCATTAAAGTAACAGAATTCTTGAAATAATTATCTGATAAAACTACCTAAAGTTAAACATCGTGATAGTTAAAATATTATTTAATGTAAATATTTTTTACATGTCAAAGACATTAGATTTCCTAAGAATCGTATCATGTATTTATGTATACGTCAACAGACCTGAAAATTAAAGCGTTTTTTCGTACCTTATTCGCGCGAGTTTTTCTGTAAATCGAGGTGCTATTAGTAAAATACGAAATATCCGGTATGGTCACTTTCAGATCATTTATTTTCGCAACCAAAGTGTTACGCCCTTCTGCTACCCATTCTGCCTGTTCTACTTTTAATTTTAGCGTTTCTTTCAGTTTTTCGAACAAACTACGTATCTATTAATTTGTACAGTAGTAGTTAGTTATTTAAAATTATATTTCTAAAGAATTTCAATATGTACATATACACAAGATGCATCGCAAAGTGTACTATTATCAAGCAAGAGGTAATTTCATACGAAAAAGTAAATCGGAAAAGAAGAATAAAATTTTTTTTCAATAACAAAACAAAAAATGTTGTTTAAAAAAAATTTATTTTTCATTTATGATTCACCTTTTTTTTTTATATATATATAGAATTATCTCTTGTTTGGTAGTACTATACTTTGTGGGACACCCTTTACATATCTGTATAAGTGTGAATTCTTACAGTTATGTTCATGTATAGGATTTCATCGTTTGAAAATGAGGAAATGTACAAGCTTGAAGCTTCTGGAATTAGAACATTGGCAGCTATACGAAGGCACTGTTCCTTAGGATTTGTATGTTTTGACAAAACAAACTAAAAGAAAAAAAGGATATGTTGAAAAACAATTCAAACATTAATCATAGACAGAGCCGTACCTTGTGATATACATCGTGTGCATATAATCCTAACAATGCATTGTTTAATCCTATCGCGTCTTTAGCTTCGAACGCCTCAAGATTTTTCAATCCTTGAATCAGAGCATCGTAAAAGTAGACTTGTACATTAACTTCTGGCTGAATCTTTTCTTTCGTTAACATAAAAATCAATCTCGTCCAGTCTATCTATAACATATATTATAGAATATATCGATTTCATTGAGTAATATATAGCCAGATAAAACTCGGTCGCTTAAAGTGTTCATATGCTATTTTGTCCCCTTGTTTGAGACATGAACTAAAGTGTAGTCGAACAGTATGGTGCCAGACAGTCGCTCAATGACATTGAGTGGTCAAAATTAATTTTGACCTGACTGTGGTTAACCAATAGAATACATAAACTTATATCTTACGACGCCAAAATTTGCTTGCAGATCTTCGATCGAAACGCGGGTATAATTTTTCATCAGATACGCCTCACGTATCTTATCCTTAGATGGATAATTCTGAAACAGAAGGAGTAATTAACCGTGGTTGTGAAAACTGTCGAGATATCTTATACAGCAAATGTAGACTCTGATTTAAGAAATTCGTAAAAAATTAAATTTCCATAATGTTTCGACGACACAAAAATAAGCTTTAGAATGAAATATAGATTTTAATTTGGACTTGATGAAATTAGTGTAATATTGTACAGTATTCTCCTAATTAGGTACCGCAACGTTGCAGGTGTACGACATGTCATTGATCTGAATTTAATTGGGTTGAAGAAATATTCGATGTAACATGAAATCTTGACTGACTTACTGCAAAAAAGTTTTGCACGAGTTCAAAATCGATGTTGATGACCGTGGTATGCACGTGTTGGGAGATATTATACGAATTGCTCAACTCGTTGAAAACGCCGAGTGCTTTCAAGGCTTCCGTGACGGAATTTATAAATGTCTCTGTATTGTTCTATCGAATATAAGGAAACGCGATTAGATTTCTCAATGATAGAGCATATTTTTTAACGAATTCATGTACATATCCGTACTTTACACGTTTTGTATTCTTTGTACAGCTTCCCTAAATCAACCATTTCTTGGTCTCTTTCGTGTCGATTTGCGTAACAGGGATCATCCTCCGTTTCCTCTGTATCGAAGGGATTTTTTAACGCCGCAGGGCCTATTTTAAGGGTGAATACTTTCGGAGAATACTCATTAAGATCTGGAGCGATGTCGAACAATAATGCGCTGGAATATTAAAAGACGCAAAAAAAATATACGAGTATACGCAACGCGCGGTCTTTTTGTACAGTCGTCTTGCATGAATTTCTTACCTGTTGTGTAATAATAATGTACCAACTAGTTCGGTGAAGTCTGTACGATTTTGAGGCCAGTTCTCGACAGTATAAAACTTTCCAACATTGTCTAACACCTCTTTCGCTGTAACGAAGATGTTATATTATTATCAATTGTACATTAAATGTATATATATTCAAGTTAGAGAGTAGTTAGATATCCTTCATATACCCAGCTTTATCCTTTCAATAAAATCAACGTTCTCATATTGCATGCAACTGTTGTAATACTTAGTGAAAATACGGGACTTCTCATCGTCGATGTCCTCTTGCGCTTGTCCTGAAAATTAAATGAAACTTACATATGTATACAGGGTGTTCGGCCATTCCTGGGAAAAATTTTAATGGGAGATTCTGGAGGCCAAAACAAGACGAAAATCAAGAATACAAATTTGTTGACGGAAGCTTCGTTAAAAAGTTATTAACAATTAAATTCAAAAATTTCAAATTGTTTTGGAAAAATTATTTTCGGTTGTGGGAGTCAATTACAATCATTTTTGGTGAATAGACATACCCCCGAAATCCTACCCACTTTCTAGAAAAAAATTCGAGGTGTGAAATTTTTCGACGGGAAAAAAAATTTCAAATCGTTCTGGAAAAATTATTTTCGTTTGCGGGGGTCAATTACAATCATTTTTGGTGAATAGACATACCCCCGAAATCCTGCGCATTTTCGAGAAAAAAATTCAGTACGGGCGAAACATTAAACGTTAATAACTTTTTAACAAAGCCTCCATCAACAAATTGGTATTCTTAATTTTCGTCTTATTTTGGCCTCTAGAATCCCCCATTAAAATTTTTCCCAGGGATGGCCAAATACCCTGTATAGGGTGGTTGTGGTTGTGAAGATATAAAGAAATGTTACAGACGTAAGCGCGAATCTTTTATCAACTACCTTTAAGCATTACGGGTTTTCAGTTATCAAAACGATAGTACAGTATAATTTTTTTTTTTAATTTTTAGTTTCTAAAGACATTTCTAGAGTACATAATTTCACAGAGGTATACGAAAAGTTTTGAATAAAAATTTGTTTCAAATTACAGTGAAAACTCGATAAATGTCCTCAAGAGCTGTTCCATAAATGATACATTTTTATCCCCACCACTAGGGGGATCCCCCTTGAACCAGTGAGGCGAAGTGTAACCGGAGACGTAGCGGCTTTCTTTAAAAATCTTTATTGCCTTCGTCACTTAGTTTAAATGTCCCTGTCAGTGTGACCACACTACTGTACAAGAAGAAAGTTTTTTATTTTTTACTTTTTTTTAATAAAAATTTTACTATCATGTGGGGAAGATTTTTCTAATTAAAATGTGACTAAACACGATATTAATCGGCCAATATTTGTTACCATAATATTGAATTAAATATTGTGTACTCGTATCTTCGCAAGGTCAGTGGATTGGTACATTTATCGAACAGTGGTAGCTAACGAAACCCCCTATTTCATAAGTGTTGCAGTTTTTGATCACTTACGAAACGGTGGAACCGTTCCGTTTGAAAATAGCTACCTCCCGTTCGATAAATGTAGCCAGCACCTCGATGCGTCGTTCTTTGATATTTCCGAACATAGAAAAGGACAGCACAAGAAGGATAAATAAAGAGAGAAAGACTCGCAAGTACAATATTTAATTCAATATTATGCTACCAAATATTGACCGATTTATATCGTGTTTAGCCTCATTTTAATCAGAGAAATCTCCCCAACATGATAGTGAAATTTTTATTAACAAAAAGTAAAAAATAAAAAACTTTCTTCTGTGCAGTACTGTGGTCACACTGACGCGGATATTTAAACTGGGGCGATAAATCCGAGTTTCAGTCCCTCTTTCTTCTTTAGCTACTGACTCTTTCTACGTTCGAAGCGTCGGCAAACTACAATCAAATTCGAAAGACGATTCTCCTATTCCGTAAGTGTTGCTGACCGGACCCGGATTAGCGACATTTATCGAGTTTTCACTGTATATCTAAAATGTTTCTTCATATCTTCAAAACAGAAAGTTATTTAAATGTTTTGCTTTTAGTAGATCAAATTATATATGTACATAACGTTCTAAGGTAAATTTTGAAAGCATATAGTTGTTAAACAGATTTTTAGTATACTCTATTTTTTATTTAGGATCTTGGATTAGATAAGTAATATTATATTTGTAAAGAAGAAGTGTTTGTATTTTTCCTCATAGTTATTTCAATGTCATGTATTTTTTCAATGTCGTCGAGATGTTAAAAAGTATTTTTAAAATTTACGTAGAACGACCTTCAAAAAATTTAAGGTTGCAGAGAAATAAATGTTAGATCTATAGACGAAGACTAAGATGTCTATTAATATATGGTCTATTTACGTAACATGTTAAAAGTTTCGATCTAATTAATTAAATAATAATGTCTGCTCTCCTATTAGTGATTTAAATAGTGTCTAATTTGATTCGCTCTTTGATACTTAAAGTGACCTTGAAATGGAGACAATTTTTTGCGTTTTATTCAACTATTTGCTTAAACAAGTATGTATTGTGGATGTGCAAATACTACTGTTCCTACATATTGAATGTTGAAAAACGCCCTTTGTTTAGAAATGTTTAGAAATAAGAATCGTTACGAACGTAATATACGCTGATAGGCTGCATTTTCTAAATCCACTTCTATAGTCTGTGGATTTGCCTCGAACCCACCGCAAGCGTATTCATAAAAGTCTTCACACGGATCGGCCGTATGATTCATGTAAGATAGCATTTTGCTAGCTATATTTTTACATTCGCCTGTTAGGCACAGGTTTTCATTAAGTAGATCCCGCGGAGTCGTGGTTATAGGTCTTCCTGTAGTACTATTTTGTACAGTACTTATCGTTGTAAAATCGGTAGTTGCATTCAGAACAGAAGAAGTAATTTCAATTATAGTACTTTCTTCATCTTTAGTCGTTAATTCCATAACATTGTCTGTCGTAGTTTCAATTATATTACTTTCTTCATCTTTGGTCGTTAATTCGTTAACATTGCCTGTTGTAATATCATAACTGCCTGAGAAAGTAATTTTACTAACAAAATTTATATCCGTGGAAGTGGAAAGTTGCGTGGTATCGATTTCGGATCGATTAACGTTTTCCTCACTGTATTTTTCTGTAGTTAAATTTGAAGTACTTGTATCTGTAGCATTAACGTTCTCGAGTAACGTGTTCATATCAGTCGAAGAAACTTGGTGCAATTGTTTGTCAGTTACTGTGGGTGTTGGTATTTCTTGTTTTGTGGAAGTTTCAACATTTACGAGCTCTTCGAATTCAGTTGATCTGTACGTAGAATTTGTAATATTTATCACATTAAAGTTCTCCGTGGATACTTCAAATTCCGAAGTTATTTCTAGTTCGACCGATTTATTTAAAAAAGTACCGTTGTTCAAATAACTCGATTCCGTTGTGCTTGTCGTTCTCCCTGCATGATGCTTATGACCATAATGATGGTGCTATATCGATAGAATTATTTTTATTACCTCTATTCCAGAATTATACTCTTAAGAAACTTACCTGCGTTATACCCCAATTATCATCTTGATATTCACGATCGTAAGTATGATTTCTTTTCCACGGTAAACTGACAAGTATTAGAATAATACACAAAAAGAAAAATATTAATAATGCCAGAACACAACTTCTATAAGATTGATCTGCTTGTGCAGCTTCTCCTTCGTCCTTATTAGCGACTTGATAAAAGTCTCGCGAAGGCATTTTTCAAATGTTAATTTACTATACTGATTTTCAATGTTTTATGAAAGTGTTTATATTAACACTACAAAATAATATTGGTTTCCCAACTGCACAGGGTTGCAGTACTTTTTCTACTGAACTCGACACAAAAAATATTAATGTAAAAAAGGAAGTGGTAATGTGGTTTTACTAACCACTTCCTTTTGATTACAACCTAGTCTTTACGAAGTATGCTATCACTGCATCCTGTATCGATTCAGTAGGAAGTGCATTAAACACAAAATGTATTAAACGCTGTATGGGAAATTGGTTTGAATTAAATTAAACATAGATATTGATACAAACACCTTTTCTTTTAATACATCCATAAATTCCAAATAACCTAAGGAAGGCGACATTAAAAATACTTAAGATAGATATAAGTTACTTATATTAATATATTTTATAATACAATTATCACAGATATGTAAACTACAAAATATTATATGCTATTATAAAATGCAACTTGCAGTTTGCCAATGATCCCATTGCACGTACTATGACAACTTATCTACAATCTATACTATATTATAATTTAAATACAATTAAAAAATATATTTAAAAACTCTATTCGCCTATCTGTTGTACCGAATATGTATCAATGTTGCGTTTGATTTCATTGTCCGTTGCATCAGATCTAATGAGTACTTCGATCGTTGAACCAATTTCTTTTGATATAGAAATATTCTCTACTTTTTTGGTACAAATTTCATCTTTGTAATCGTCAGACTTTAACGTTTCGGAGGTAATCTAAAACACCAAAAAAGGATTAAAACGTTGTCAATTTTAAACGACTACAGTAATGACCTGGATATTGGCCGACGTTCAGGACCGAAACTGGTCAAAGTTGGAGAGAGGTAGAGTTTTAGGAAATCCCATGTACTATCCAGAGATGACTTGTTGGCTAGGCACCTATAAACTAAACGGGGCAAGGGCAAGGAGAGAAGGTCTACGCGCCGCCTTATTCCCACCATAGAGGCCCGCTCTGACGTCACGTTACATAGTAGTAGGATCTCCATAACTACAAGAGATACACTTTTGTTCTATTCATGGCTAGTATTTTGAGCGTACGGTTGCGCCAATGACTCTCAGTCTTGTTCTATCTTACTCTATCTCTATACGTTTCGTTCGCGTCCTTTGTCACGCGATGGAATTGTAGTTGTGAGCGACTCAGCCATAATGACAATGCGTGTGAGAGCAGGCGTCGCTATTAAGCTACGGCCAATCGGCGTGCCTAGCCATCAAGTCATCGCTGTATAGTACCTCTTTTTCAGAAAGTGCGAGTGAGTAGTAATAGGTATTTTTAAGTGGAAATCCTGACCAATTTCTAAGGCATCACTGTAATTTGAATTAAATATTGACTCTTTTTCTTACTTTTCTTTGTAATTCATCAGCCTTAAATTTCTCTAGTTTCTCCTTATCAGCAAGTCCAATTGCAGTCTTTGATGATGTTTGTCTCTTTGGAGTAGGTTTCCTTGGTTTAAATGATCCAGAAGCTTTCTTAGGTAACTGTGAGCTCGAGTGCTTTTTAGTCTCGTTCGACTGGTCACAATTATGAGTCAGTAACTGCTCTTTAGTTTTAAATGCCTGTAGCGAATATTTTAAAAAGTGAATTTCTGCTTTAACTATTTTTTATCGGTTCACTTATAGCATGACACTTACGTGTGAACAAATTTCGCATTTCAAACTATGCTTATTCATCTCGTGATGCTTAAGAGCTTGTGCCCGATGGAAATTACGATTACAATGACTACAACTAAATCTTTTGATATTGCTATGCGTCAGAAGGTGACGCTTTAATTTATCAGGTCGCGAAAATTCACTCATGCAACCTAAGTAACCTCTGAAGGGGCACTTTAATCTCTTTGTTAAATCATGAATCAGCATGTGGCGACCCAAACGATCTTTTCGTTTGAATCTAGCTGGACAGTGCTATATGATAAGAAAAATTGTATAAATTAGGGATGCGATGAAATTTAACGATTTTTAAATCCACCGTAAAATTACTCACTGGACATAGAAACGGTGTCTCCTCGCTATGTATTAATTTATGATTGGCTAAATATTGCTCAGTTTTAAAGGCCTTCCCGCAATCTTCGCAGGCAAATCGCGCGGATGAGGCGTGCGTTTTTAAATGACGCCTTAAAAATCGTTCGATCAAGAAACTTTTTCCACAATGCAGACAGGCGTAATCGTGTGTTGTAGTTTCGGTATGATGTTGCAAAGCCTCCAAATTCGAGAAGGAGGACTTGCAAATAGAGCAACAGTAATATTTCTCTGTTGTTTTTTGTTTTTGGACGGAATGAGTATATTGATGTAGCCCAAGATCAGACAGAGTATTAAATACTCCACCACACACATGACAACGATATTCTGATCTCTTATGACTGCGGGTATGTTCCAAGAAATCTTCAAGTTCGGAAAACATCATGCTACAGCTACTTTGCACACATTTGTACACTTTTAGTGCTAAGTGAGAGACTATAAGGTGGCCCTTTAGAGCTTTGTACGAATCGAATATTTCTTTGCAAAACTGACAGTGATAGGTACGGTCTATGCTTCCATCCGGAGGTACCTATCAATGTTCATGAACTATTAAAAAGAGAGATGCAAAAAAAGAATTGCAAGTTTATGAAAAAATTTTTAAAGTACCTCAGGGGGTAAAGAGTGTATAGCAGTGCCGGGCCAAACTTTATGGGACGACATATGTTTCTTCACGTTGGATTTTTGTGCGAACGCACGTCCGCATACTACGCACTGATATGGTTTTTCCCCTGTGTGGGAACGTTCATGTTGTTGCCAATAAAATTTTTTCGCGAACTGTTTGTTACAGTAACCGCATTTGTACTGCAATGAAATATTTCAATTAGAGAAACCAAAAAATTCATATTTAAAGTGACTCGTTAAGCCATTGAAGTACATACTTTTAAATTTTGTGTTTGATTAGCAATAGTATCTGAATCTATTAATGAATTTTCAGTCATTTGTATATCAACCTTTTCTGAATTGTTAATGGTGTGCTCTTGAGAAATATCACTGGGTAAAACTTGAGATACATCGCTTGAATCGTCATTCATGGGCTCATTATCAGATGGAATAGTCGAGTTTGCAAAAGGATCCAAGCTTTCTGAACTCAATATAATTGGAACACTAAATGAGGAATCTGTTGTAAAATAACTAGCACCCTCTTGATCCATGCTATTATAAAAATATTTATCATTTGTTATAAAGAATATATTTTAAAATATATATTTAGAATGTAACCATTTATAGCTGACCTAAAGAGCATGTCTGATTCTTCGAGTATAATTGGTTCACCAAGTTGATCATTTTGAACAAATGTTTGTTGTGGATTGTATTGCGATGTATCTTGATCATTTTCTTCTGTATGAACAGGTTGGCTTTCATCATTCACTAAAAATTGACTCAGATCTATGGTTTCCTCATGCGTTTTCTGATGGGCCCTTTTGTGCAATATAAACATGTGCAGCGATGTAAACTGGCTTTTGCATTTCCCGCACTGAAATATATCTTCTTCATCCTGATCTATCACTAAATAAAATATATAAAACCCTTTATTGTAAATTCGTTTACGTGAAACTTTCATAAGGTAAAAATGATCAATTAATAGGTTATCAAAATTATTTCATTAAAAAACCTACCTGAGTGATCAACCTCAGTTATTAGAGTCTGAGACTCTAATAACGATTGCACAGGACTGTCCAAAGATACGCCTGTAAAGTACGAAATATGACGATCTTAAGTGCATGAAATGCTATCCCAATTTTCTTTCAGAAAGAAAGATAAATAGAATACTCTTGTTGGTTAACCCCACCTATTTCTATGATAGAAAAGTTTTACCTGTTAAAGCGTCGAAAATAGATTGCGCCATACTTTGCAATAACATTAACGCTTCATTTTAAGCGAAACCAGCGATCAGGCTTTCATGAGTCGTTTAATGTAAAGAAAACGAACAAATACCAAGTCGAAAACATACCGAGAATTTCTACGCCCTGCCAGCGTTGTTGCTGACCAGACCAGACCAGCGAATGATAATCGATATGTCGACTGCTAAGACCGATCCTAACCTCAAAATGGGACAAGTTGCATCGTAGCGCCAACATCAAAGAAATCAGCGAAACAGGTTTAACCATTAAATCAGGTTAGACGAAGTACAAAATACTCTGTGATTGTTTGGAACGCGTGAGCATTCTTTTCAAGTGTGACTTTTAAGGAACAATATAAAAATGACAGCGGTATTACGCGTGAAACGTAGACACGACGACGAGCCATTAAATGCATTATTAATTGCGTGCAAACGAATTAAAACAGCAGAAAACGAAGAAGCAGTAGAATCAGCTGCGTCTGTACCACTGACGACGGTTGTTACATTTGCCGGGACTGTTAAGAATCAGGTCGAATTTAAGAGATTTTAGTAATTATTTAATACAAATTTTACAAATTATTTTAAAATTTAAGCTAACATATTTCTTCCTTTATATTAGGAAGATAATGTTGTTGAACACATAATTCAAGCTTTGAAGAAAGATGAATTGAAAGCGAATTTCAAACATCATTCTGTTGATATTTTAAAGAAAGCACGGGAAAAAACAAAACAGGCTTCGGCAAATAATCGTTATAAAGTAATCAATTGTATTCGGTCCTTGGATAATTCTGGTCCAAAAGAATTAGAAGACAAGGTTATGACGGTAATAGATGTAGAGGACTGTATCTCATGTGCCATTCCAGAGGAGCAATTCGCGGGAAATGTATATAATTATTTGTTGATATTAGCTATAGAGTCCTACGTTTATAAACTGATATTAACTAATATTGTTAATATCAGTTTATTATAATATATATATAACTATATATGTTTTACAGAGTGAGGACTATGTATATGATTTGTATTATGGACAAACTGAAAATGAGCTGCACGTAGATAATATGGTATCCGTGCATCCGTTTGATCAAGAATTGGTATTTGATACTTATAGAAATAATACTCACTCTGACGTTGAATGCGAATCAGAGGATTCTAATTCAGAGTCTAACTGGAGAAACGATTATCCTGATTCTGATAACTCTGAAAAATCAATTGATGATGATGACATGAGACAAGCTGTTATGAATATGGGAATAGAAGAAGACTCTGATTTGTCTAGCGAAGATGATTTTGTTTATGCAGTCAGTGAAAAGGATGTAGAAGCTTATGGGTATAAATACGCGAAATATAAGGCGAAGGTAAAGGAAGTATTGGATGAGGATACTGATGATCTTAGCGACAACAGTGGGGAATATGTATACGAGGAATCGGATAAGCATAGTGATTCCGATACAAACTGTATTGAACTTCAGTGCGATACTAAAGATAATGTTAGATTATGAATATGTAAACTAGATGTGAAGAACATAGATTAGATTAATTGTACACTGGTAAGTGGAAAAAAAAGTCACGAGATATAAAGTCTTTTGACTGGTAAAATGATACAAGTGACTGTCAACTGATGGAATATCACATCGCCAATGTCATTCTATTAATTCTTAGCGAATATACATAAGTTCTTTTCTACTGGGTAAAATTAAGTGGTTAAACAGCGACTATCGCAACTATACTTTTACTAGAATTAGTTTTCATTTTCATTTCTCATACTATTTAAAGTAATTTAGATCAGTAAATAGAACGCGTTTCGTTTTGTAGTTAAAGTTGTTTTTCAAACACAAGTTCTACGACTTTAAATTATTTTTTTTCATTGCATAGAAGTAAGGGTCATAAAGGTCTTAGAATTTTATTTATGTCTATATATTTATTACATATTTATATAGATATATCTTGTGTGTAAAATTCATCTATCAAAATAAAAACAATAAAAGTAAACGTAGACGTCGAAGTGACAAAGGAAGGTGTATAGGTATTTAGAAAAAGAACCGTTTTCGACGATATGGCATATAATAATATACCAGATTTATAATGTATAACAAATTGTTGGAAGTACCAGATAGAGATTTACAAGTTTTCAGTAATAAAGAATAGCTACTCCGTGATGCATTATCAAATCTTTTGTATTTATTTTTAATGGAATATCGTGAATCCTGCTTTCCTTTAGACAGCGATCAGCAAGAGTACAGGCCCGTAAATAACGTAACAATTACTTTTATAAAAGTATTTGCGAATATTTCGCGTTTATCTGGCTATTCTATTCGTCGAAATACGTAAACAATTTTACATTAACTGAGATTTTTGGATACGCTGTCGCGTTCTGCGACAATGCGCAGATTAACATCCTTTATTTTCTCATTGTCGAAATTCGCACGTGGGAAAATTGATGCCATTAACGAACTCGTTATATGATATGAATAGTACGCTGCGTATACGTGTAACACTGGCCTTAATTCTAATTTTTACATTTACGCGCTCGCAACGAATCGTTACTTGTTTATAAGTAAGTACACGCGATGCTTTTTGATTGTATGTACGAAGCAAATGCGTTGGTAAGAATCCAATTACACCGAATCCTGAATCCGCGGAGAGTCATAGGGAATTTTCGTTCCCTTTCTCCCGCGATACATTTGAGACGATTGGCAAACGACAGGAAATGATTCCCAATTGTTATGGCAGTCTATGGATACATTTATCAACGTACTTACTCCCCGAAGAGTATGAGCGCGATTTATGGGCATGAAATCGTTTTTTATTCATATTTATATATTTATATATAATATATTAAATGTCATATTGCAACTTAGCGTTTTCACAAGCTTGAGATTGGTATCATTCAGGATAATTACTATCGTTCCGTTAATACTCTACTCGTCTACTGTACAACATTTTACACTCATCTTTATTATCCGTAATTCCTTAGGTATGTCGATTAATTAGTTACAGCTACGAGATTATTGAAGAGTCATGAGATTGCACACCTTTGTATCGGTAGATCGTGGCTTTCGAGGCCCAGCCGTAATTTTTCCCCGCATTCTCGCTTAAACCCAACCGCAACCACGATCCTTCATATACAGGACGTGTCTCATTCGGCAGCCTCACTTTGGTATTACTTCGTATAATTTTTACGCTCATTTTTTTTTTTTTTCTTTTATCTTTGCATCCCAGTCAATCCAAAGCGAACTACCAAACGCCACTACCACGATCACCTAAAATATCGCTGCTATTAAAAACGTCGCTCTTTTATCCTTCCGTAACTCCGTGTCTACGCACGCATATGTACAACGCGTCGGTTGAATCAATTTGTAAGTACAAACAATTCCCTGGATCAACAGAAATCACACAACGGTAGTTGTCTAAATCGTATAGTCGGTAGTTCTGTCATGTATATTGTATATATATATATATATATAATAGATATATATGTATATATATATATATATATATATATTTATATAAACTGGCAACAATTAACAGTCCCGTTGAGTTGTCCTGCTAGCAACATCTAAGAACATCCTGAGAGTTTTTAAAGTACGGACGCCTCGGTCCTGCCACTCGGAGGCGTTGTCGCGTGGCTGCTCGAGTTGTTATTGTTGTTGTTGTTGTTGTTGTTGTTGCTCGCCTCGCCGGCGTGGCTCGAACAGTAAAACTTTTTGTGAGCTATGAATGTGCTCAGATAGTTGAAGCTGATGTCGCAGGACCGACAGTAACGCGGACCGCTCTTGTTGGGGTCCAGACTCTCTTCCGGCGGAGGCGTGTCCTCGCGTTCCTGCTTCACCTTGCTCGTCACCGTCGGCGGCGGCGGAGGCGGCGGTGGCTGCGGGCTCTTTCGAATCTCGGTCTTACCGTTCATCTGCACCTCCGCTGGGACTTCTTCGGGAGTGGTGGCTGGCGGGGGTTCCGGTGTCGGTAGGACCGTTTCGTCGTCGAGCACGCACGTTATATAATTTTCTTCCTGAAATATAAAAGAACGATACGATTATTTAAAAGGTTTTATGAAAAAGAAACGTGAAATATTTTGGTCTTCATTATTGTATAGTAACGATTCTTAAAACGAATCCCAGATGTGATTCGTAAGTCGACCATTTCTATCTCCGACTGGGGGAATCCCCCTTGGAATCGGTAACCTCCTGTACTCGCCACCAGAGGGATCGCGCTCTCGCAAGCCCTCCGACCCCTCGGTTGTTATATATACGCTTCTCAACCGAGTACCCAATATCCTGTAGTTTAAGGCAATAAGAATCATTACTGTACTATGCTATGTTTTAGAAAATCTGAATAAATTGAAGAAACACTTTATATCGATTGATATCCAACAGGGAGCAAGAAGGTCCACTTTTAGTTTGAGAACGCTTTCTTTCAAATTCACCATTTATAACATTTAAACATTTCCTACGTGTGTATAGGTGGGATACTTGTATCACAAAGTAGCAAAAGGATAATAACGCGCCACTTCTCCTTACCTGCAGGTCGGTTCCGCGTTTCTCAAAGTGCATCTTGATATGCGTCCTCATACCACGCAACGTGTTTCCCTTGTAACGACAGATCGTGCACCTGAAAGCTTTGACACCCTGATGCGCGTCCATGTGACGCTGAGCAGCCCCCGCTGTTGGACTAACCGCGCCGCATACGGGACACCTCCAACCACCTGTCGGTCCGCTGGTACACGTATGCGTGCCTCCGGGTTCTATTATAGCCTATACGAATACAAACAAGTATAAAATAGGAAAGATTCTAGCTCAAAATTTCGTTTTCATCGTTCAACCCGATTAAATCAAATAAGTGGTACCGCGCGGTTAGATCAGTCATTTTTATATTATATTGTAATCAACGTTTTTGTTTGTTTCAATAGATAAATAAATAACCCATACCAGACTGAACAACTTACTTTGCATTTGGTGCATCTCGAGTGATGTTCCTGAGGCTCTGGCCTCTTGGGACAGTAAAACGCTTGATGAGCCACCAGATTGTCCATGGAAGCGAACTTGATGCCGCACGCGGCGCAGATAAGCTGGACTAAAGGAGGCGAGGGTGTACCGGGTGGCGGTGGACTGTTGCTGACCGTAGTTTCCCTTGCTTGACAATAGTGCTTCTTGTGCGCGACGAAGTTTTCGTGTCGGCAGAACACGATGTTGCATTCTTTGCATCTGGGAAATTCAACGATTTCGAACCATCTGTTAATTATCTCAAAAGAAACTCTCGGGCGAAGTGTCTTACACTTTTATGTTTAGCATCCACTAAAGGTGAGGTTTTCGAAGTACGATACAGTAGAACTACACTTTCTACGCTTATCTACGTTTATGCTCTATAGTTTTTGCTAGAAAAGTTTCGGGGTCAACATACCTCGAGACGCCCTGTTTGACGAGGACACCAGGAACAGGCGGGGGTGGGAGCTCGGCCAGTCTAAGGGCGAGCTCCGTCGGTGGAGGTGGCGCAACGGTTCCAGCTGCCGACGGTGTAGATCCGATCGACCTCGCTCTGGGACTACCGCTTCCTCTGGACCTCGGACTACCGGGTGGCGGAGGCAGAGAAGAGGGAGACGGCGACACCCTGTTCTCCTTTTCGTCCTGATGCGCCGGCGATTTTCGGACGCTCAGATCGAGCGGTGCCGAGCCCGGCGGCGAGGTGGACGACGCTGCGACCGACGCCGGCGTTGTTGGCTTGTTCGCTGCTCGAAGGACCGGGGAAGGTTCGACCACGGCGTTTTGCGCTGTTGCGGCGAGGCCCCTGGTCATTGGCTGGAGATGGCCTGTTAGGAAATGTCACTTATCATGCTGCTGGTCGACAACATCACAAGTACGTAGAGCTAAGTATCTATTACAACAAACCGTTTGGAAGAAGGAAGCACGCGGTGTCCGGCGCGGGCAGAGTCGGTGCAGCCAAGACGCTGGCGCCACGGAACAGGGAGTACGGCACGATCAGAATGGGATTGGTGGGTAGCGCCAGGCACGGTTGCGGCGGCGGTGAATCACCAGGACTGGCGCTCGTCGGTGGCGACGCCTTCACCGACGAAGAAGCCGCGCTCGTCGTTGGTGGCGTGTCTTTGACGACGTGCCTGGTGCTGCAGTAGTGAGTCTTGTGCGCCCGATAAGTCTTGAGGGAGCTGAATCTGATGTCGCAATTTCTGCAGTACCTTTCCGCCTCCTCGTTCAACGAGCCGTTAGAAGCCGTCGCGGTGCCGCTACCCGGCGTGGTGGTTGGAACTGGCGCCGCTGGTATCGTGGGCGGCGCTGGCGACGCTGCGTGCATCCTCATGTGTCTGTTCAAGGAGACCTTCTTGTCCGCGCTGTACGAGCAGTGGGGACAGGCGTACGCCTTCCTCACTTCGAACTTGTTCGTCTTCTCCTCGTCCTCGTCGTTCGCGGTATCCTCCTCCAGCCGTGGACGATGGGCGCAGTAAAAGGTGCGATGCGCCTCCAGGGTGCTCGCCGAACTGAAGCGGATGCCGCACGGCGGACAGATTAACGGTGCTGGTCTGGCTGGCTCCACGGTGATCGTTTCCTTACCGTCGGTTGGCAACACGAACAACCGACCAGACGCGATTGCTGAAACGTTTGCGCAAAGAAAGTAAGAGATGCGTCCACGAGGGACGTGTGGTCGCTAAGATGGCACGCCATTCAAAGGTTAACCATTGAACAGTTTAGATTATCCCGAATGTCGCCATTTGCATCCATCATTTTTTGCATACTTGTTTATTTTTTATTTTCATGACAACCGATTAATAGGCTACCGGTCGATAAAGTGTTAAGTGGTTAGCATAGATCAGAACTTATTTGGCGTTACCATTTTGGAGGCCAGCCGGTAAAGGTGGCACAGGATTGGGCGGCGAGGTGTTCTCCGGTTTGACGGTGAGCGCGGCTACGGCCGCGGGTCGAAGAGCAGGATCCGTCGCCAGACTAGCATTGAGTCTCAGTCTTGGTGCCGCTTCGTCGTCAAGTTTCAACTTTTTCTCCAAAGGTGGGTCGTCCGCGTTGGATCGCCTCGAGGAGTCCTCGGAATCTCTCCTGCAGACGGACTCCCTTCTTCGGATCGAGGAGGACGAGGAAGACGACGATCTTGGTTGACAATCCTCCTCCTTAACAACGACAATACCACAATCCTCGTCCATGTCTTTGGGACTTGACTCTCGCGTCTGGTTGGGCTTCGAGGTAGCATGTCGGTCTCTTATGCTTCTAGCAACCTGAAAAGTGCGAAAATTAAATAATGATTAGATACATACATTGTATTCGAACGATATTACGATTCTAATTATATTAAAACCCACGTGTTGCTGGTCTTGACGTTCCGAGTTATAAAAAAAGAGGAAACGGGTTGTCATTATAGTCTTACCTCAATATCTTCGGTAAGACTAGCTAGCCGTTTTCGAGCATCCTCAGAGAGCACGCTGAGCCTCAATCTGATGTCCTCCGCGGCCGAATTGACGATCGCGACCGACGAGGAAGGGGGATTCAGTCTCGGCGGTGGTGGCAGGCTCGATTCCTCCTCAACGACCGGCGCGATCGGGCTGGAAACCGCTGATCCACCGCCCTCCACGCCACTGCTCACCGATGGTGTTTTCTCCGAATCGCTCCATTCCTCATCCTCCCCTAAAACGAGTAAACAAAAACACGGTTAATTTCTTATTCATCCACCTCGTTGATCTACATCCAGATCAACGATTCCTTTATCCTCTAATTTTACAACACTTCTACTTTACGATCTTAATAATCTCTCCAACTCGCAAAGGTGTAAATGTATACAAATATTTGTTGTTGCACGCTCAACGATAATACTGTTCCTACATTTCTTTAAGACGGTCCAACGACGATCCACTGTCTCCCGAGAAACGACCATAGCCACAAAGCGGATCCACGTGGAAGGAATGGCCGATCGCGGCGGAGCCCGGAGCCGGAAGCCGTGGCCAACGGAAGAAAATACAAGAAAAAAGCCAGCACGCACGTTCAACGATGCGTCTCTATGGCCGTTCGGCTCCCTAATGGTCGCTCGCCACGCCAGCCTTTGCGTACCCACTGTTCCCTTCCCCCTGCCCCTCACTCCTCGACCTATCTCTCTCTATTCATCTATCTATCCCCCTACCAGCCCACTTCGCCCGCTGCACCCTTCGCGCGCCACCGGGAACCCCCACCATTCGACGAGCCGCGTCGCGGCGTGTCGGCTCGACGCCGAAGGGGCTGCTCTCGCGTCGGAATCTCGGATAAGCTGGCAGGGTTGTTTGGGTTATTGGGCACTCAGCATCCTATGAAACGGAACCGTCTTTCCCGGAACGCTTTAGGAACACTTCGGGAATTTCTGTTTCGTCGTTCCGTGGAGATTCCGACAGCAGATTGCCAGCGGCGGGATAGACGTATCTCCCTTTGACCTTGCTTATCTTCGCCCATCTATTTTCGGCCACGAGAAAGTCGAAGCGCGAAGAATCACGATCGGTTTCGAAACGGGTTTTGGGTACGATACCGTGTTCATATTTAATACTTTTACTGCCACGTCAAATATAGGGACTTTTCACTAAAACGGATAATTCTCAAGCTGACGCGTTAAAGGAAATTAATTTAAATGGGATTCGTGAAGTTTACCGAGGTTAGAAGACAAATTTTAGGTTATGTAGTTTACAAATGCCTAAAATAAAAGTTTATCGCTTTGGCTCGTATAGATGGCAGGACTATTCGCTATTCGCTATGAATTTTATCGAGGTTAGGAAAATAATTACTAAGCAAACTTTAGATTATGTAGTCCACAAGTGTCTAAAATCAAAGTTTCGGTCTCGTAAAAAGTTGTATAGTTTTGGTTTGGTAGTGTTGCAATGTGCAAGTCCTTATTTTATTAAATATTTCATTTGAATCCTCGTTTTTTTGCCGTAGTAAAGGAGGATTCGTTGCGATTGAGCATGGTGTCTTGTACCGTTCAATGCTGGTAAGTTGGCACTCGAAAAGAATTTTCAATTGGTCGAGACAGAATAAGTAAATTGGTTCGAACATAAACATAGAATCGCATCACATGCATTTTTGCTATTGCTGGCATAAAAAGTTGGGGTCTGTAGTGTCGTGCGATAAAGAAACAGGAATATCTCGAGTATCAATAGTGAGGAATAAGTGGCGCTAGTATTTACTCTTTTGGCCTCTGTGCCTGGTTTCTTTAACCCTTTTGGGATATGGGCTCAGTCAGTCAGTCGACAGTGTGCATTAAATCTCGTATGAGCGTACAACACGCGTGCTGCTCAAGGTATGAATATCGACCGTAGTCAAAGGGTTGATATAACAAGGTAGCAAGAAATCAGTAGCAATTTCTATAAATTGCAGGCATCTCTCCCGGGAATTACCCTATGTTATCCGAATCGGATCTGCTGGCGGGGAAACGTTGCCAACTGTCGAGAGACGTAACGGCTGACACCTTCTCAGGATAACCGTATCCCTTTCTCGTAGATCTCGAGGATATCGGTTGGGCCGGAGTATCGTCTAGGTGGGTTGTCCTCGAAATCGAGACGACACGCGTATCGTCCGTCGAATTACCCGGATGCTTTAATTGCCTCCTTGGGCGAGGCTCGGCGAGGCGGACGGAGTCCACGCGATCGAGAAGGACGAACACAGACGAAGAGGAGGAGGCAAGATGCCGAAGGAGATTGGGTAGAGGGTAGCAGCGCACTTCTAGGCTATCCAGCGCTCGAATCTACAGGACAGTCGTGTTCCTTCTGCCTCTCTGTAAATAAGCGGTCATCGATGGATCGGCAGCAGGCCTCGGACCCAGCACCACGTTCCTCTCCCGTCTCTCTCGTTTCTATTTTTACGCCTCCGACTCTCTCTCTCTTTTCTAAGCTATCTCGTTCGCCGTCTATTTCTTCGTCTGCTTGTTGTTCCCTAGGTACCGTGCCACGACAGCATTCTTAATTGCACGCGCGTACAAGCTACCTGGGACCGCGGGTTGCGTCCGCCGCGGATTTAGACTGGGAGCTCTTGATTGCACCCGGTTACACGGGTATTACGGTCACGGTTATCCGGGTGGTAGCGGCGGTTCGTTACGCGGGCGAGTCTGTTACGGTTATCCGAATTTATTAGATCGCTTGGGGGAAAGTTCGTGCGGTTTCGGTCGCGGCGCAGGCCGGATCGGGGTCAAAAGTAACAAGTTGAATATTTTAATACATATTCCGTAGGACTTGCGCGAGCGTTGGTTACGAGCAGTTTAGGCACGCAATACCAAGTAGCTTCCCGATGTCGTAAACTTCCTCTTTCTTAAGCGAGTTAATATTGCGAGGTCGATCATCTCTCGTATTCGCCGCCAGAGGGACCGTTCCTCTCGCAAGCGCTCGACCGACCTTTCGTCTGCATATACACGTTATTCGATTCCCAATATCCCGGTCGTCCAAGGCAGGGTCTGTTAGGATACCTTAAAATATTATGCTGCAAAAATCATAAACGAAGTGCATGGTAATTAGTGGGTAACCTTTTTCAATGTGTGCAGTCTTATTTACTAGATACCGGACGGAAAATAGAACATTTCAGAGTAATAAAATTGTTATGTTAGTTCCGAGCTTCATCCAATTATGAAGCGTCGTGTCTAGAACGTTTTAGTCATGCTAGATCCGCCTACACCGAACCTTGCCACACCCGTAGTCCCATATTATCCCGCTATTTACCACCTTACATACAAAAACCAAATCGAATCAATTTAATCCTGCATTTTGGTGTAATCATGAATAATACCATACGAATTCGAGTGTATAATTGAAATGAGACCAATACAGACATCATAGCGTGTCTCTAAAATCCCTAGCGACCGTAATGATAAAAATTCGCGTCAACCCTCCTCGCTTCTTTTCGAAACAGCATAACTGTCGCCGAGTCATCGGAATCGTCGTGACATCGCGCGTTGTCGTAGGGCTTATACGACCACGTGTGCCCCGCGTAGAACTATTAAACACGTCCCAAGCCCGTTTCTATATGGCTTTCTGCCTTTCATTCTCGTTACCGCCTTCGACCATTCTTAATTGCGCGTGCATGCAAACGTTCCCGATCGAGAGGGCTGCACCTTGCTCGCCTACAACCACCTAGAACCGCCACCAACCACCTCCGGGCGCTGAGGGTGTAATATATCTCGAAAAGAAGAGGTGGAGGATGGGAGGGGATGAGTGGGGGGGAACACGGCCGCCATTAACATATCCGCGGCCTGATAAGCCTTTCTCAGAACCGATACCGCGCCCGTGTACACCTTCGGCCCCGCTTTATGCGAGAAACGAACAGCCGCAGCCGCGTGAGAAACGGGGTTCGGAAGCTCTGCTCTTTGCCACTCACGGTTTCCCTCGCTTTGTCGTCGTACATGTTACGGTTGTTCAGACCGAATTCTGGAATCCCCAATGCTGCGCATTGCACGCGATTCTACTCCTCGATCTCTCGTCTTCCACGATTTTTTTATCCCGGGACCAAGGCATCCACCGGAACGGTAGCTCATTGTCATTCCTCTAACGCGACAAGCAACGTTTCAAGATTAACCTTACAGCAATGGTTCTTCATTCTTTTTTTGAAAATTATTTACTTTAGGGGACCTTAATTTTGATTTTGATGATTGTAAAATATGTTATCTATATATATAAAATGAAAGGTTTCCACTATGATGTATACATGGAATACGAAAGGATATTCCGAAAATCAACCCCTAAGGGGGTGGAAAGACGTTGCAACGTTTGTATGAGGAATATTTTATTTGTGGCCGGATTTGCTTCAAACTTGGTCTTAATGCTCTTTGATATAATTGATCAAATACCTACATCGGCATTTTAAAAAATTCAATCTCTGAAGGGTTGAAAAAAGGGGTTGCAACGTTTGTATGGGACATATTTTGTTCGTTGTCAGTTTTGCTTCATACTTGGTCTTAATACTCTTTGATATAATTAATCAAACACTTATTCCAGTTCTTTAAAAAATTCAACCTCTGAAGGGGTGAAAAGGGGTTGCAACGTTTGTATGAGGAATATTTTATTTGTGGTTGGATTTGCTTCAAACTTGGTCTTAATACTCTTTGACATAATTAATCAAACACCTGTTTCGGCATTTTAAAAAATTCAATCTCTGAAGGGGTGAAAAAAGGGGTTGCAACGTTTGTAGGGAACATATTCTATTCATTGTCGGATTTGCTTCATACTTGGTCTTAGTACTCTTTGATATAATTAATCAAACATTTATTCCAGTTCTTTAAAAAATTCAACCTTTGAAGGGGTGAAAAGGGGTTGCAACGTTTATACGAGGAATATTTTATTTGTGGTCGAATTTGCTTCAAACTTGGTCTTAATGCTCTTTGATATAATTGATCAAACACCTATTTCGGCATTTTAAAAAATTCAATCTCTGGAGGGGTGAAAAAAGGGGTTGCAACGTTTGCATGAGGAATATTTTATTTGTAGTCGGATTTACTTGATACCTGGTCTTAATACTCTTTGATACACTTATTTCGCATTAACGTTGCCTTATTTCCGTAAATGGATCTAGAAACTTCAAATTTAACATGTAAGTACGTAATTATTATCTTATCACTAAACCGTTGCAATGGTGTAAATACGCCTAAATATCGGTATGGGTGTCGTTATGTAGGTCTTTCGGGACGT